GGCGGGCTAGGGCTATAGCCCCAGGCCCCCCAAACTTCTTGGGGCAACTAAAATCAACTTAAAAAGAAAAAAAAAAGGTTTTTTTTAGTCATCTTCACGCTGTGACACATAAAAAAGGGCCCTGAAAAGTTTTAATTCGCCATTGGTTTTACCTAACCTGTTTTGGTTATTTTGGTTATTTCACCTTTATAACTGTTCAATAAATGTTTAAAATGTTTAAAATGTCACCATCTTTAATGAAATTTTCAGTTATCTGAGCAAGTCTGTTGTTTTTATATCATTAAGTTTGTGTACATTTTGCTACAATGGAGAACAACAGTTTTAACGAGCATTTAATTTGCACAACGAAATGGAAGAAAAGAGTTGATCAGTTAAATTGGAAAATTAATTTTCATTGAATTGCATAACAAATTCATTTCAAACAAAAATACATATAAACAATACATTTTGTTTTGTCTCATACTTGTTAACTTTATGTTATATTGATGTAAAATGTGTTTTATTAACCTTTTTTTAGTTATTATTTAGAAATAATTATCTAAGAAGTTCATTATATTTCTTTTAATACTTCTCAATATATTTCTTTGCATATCAAGAAATTGTTACTAATGTTTGATATTAAAGTTTAGCTTTTAATTTTATTTATGGCTTGCTAGATTAATGTATAAATCAATAATTACTTATGAATCTAATACAAAGTTTGCTTATTATAGAACAAGTTTTAATAATACCATTAGGTTAGTGAGAACGAGGATGATGCTGACTTGTCATGTCTTTGGTATACCTAAAGAGATGTCGCAAGTTGTTTTACCGACATATAAAGATGTAATGAAACATTACTTGCTTGTAAAACATCAGCTGAAGCTAACAGCTGCTACGAAACAACCTACTATAACAGAAATCTCTGAAAAACTTGCAGTAGTTGTTGAAAAAATATGGTTAAAAGCGTCATTACCGATGATTACTCATACACGAGTATTAAAGATGATTCGGTCCTATCATGATAAATACAGAAAACTATTGCGAAACATCAAGCGCAGTAATTATGATAGCAAAGTGAATGCTTTTAAAGAAGATGCTAGACATTGTTTGACATCTGCACCTGTAAGTGTGTGTTTGAGAAGTGTGTATGTAACAAAACTTGCAAGGTTCCTCCTGCAGAGCAAGATTTTATCCAAGATCAGAGAACTCAAATTGATGTGCATTGGTAATATTGATAAACTTGCATCAAATAAACTGGCCATGAAGTTCAAAAGAAAAAGTATTGAGCAGTGGCATAGGAATAAGCATCACAATGCCTTGTCTGTGTCTTCACTTGGTGATTTTGAAAGTCAATCTACAGCTCAAAGTGATGAAGATGATAATTACATTAATAAAGGTAATATTTCCGATGTTTCTTCCATTGACATTATTAGTTCTTCGTATTTTCAATGTTGGCAACCACTTCCTGCATTAGCAAACATCTGTGACCGGTATGGGATCTCAGATAGAGCCTGAGCTGCAATAGCAAATGCAGTTTTGGAAGACTTTGGTGTTGTTAATCAACAAGATACCTCTTATGTTTGTATTAATTGTGAGAAATTACCACTTGTTGAATTTGAAAATATTGATGTAACTCTTCCAAAAGTTGAACTTAAAGATTTGAGCACAGATCAAAAATATATGTGAGAAATGTGCGAAGCAATATCCAAAGGTGAGTGTTCACTAGCCCTATCAAAAAAAACTCTAGGGGTACTAAATCACTCTCGATGGCTGACAATGTCAAATAGACTTCTACAGTTGTATGTGGCAAGCAAGGACCCATCAACAAATCTGATCCATTTAGTAACTTATGTTGTAAGAGTTTATTCTCCTGTTTGGTTTAGTATTAAGATGCATCCTTCATGCAAAGATGGTGCGCGGCATCTTTTTAAACTTATTTAACAGTTGTGTTACTTATTGCAGGAACTGCGAGATATAGTAGATCCTGTATTACAATGTAACGGCTATTATGCTCATCCAAAAAATCTCTTACTAGCAATGGTTAGTGACAAACGCCAACAAATTTGTGATTTAGGATTAAGGCACATTCTTAAAACGCGACAGGAAAAAAATCACACACTGCATACTTTCAGTTTACCAAAGCTTAACTTAGATGCACATGATTACGTAGAACTCATCAACTGGAAAGAAAATAAAATAACCGAGTCACCGTTAAAAGCTGATTTGTCTGAGGCAGATATTCAATTGTTTTTGGAAATTGGCGGACAATCAATAATTGAGTTTGAAAGACTTCCATGCCATATTCAACCAGTGGAGCAGTGTGTCAAGCTGGTAACTGAGGCTTCGCTGGCTGTATGTGGAGAAAAATCTCGAGATGGTTTTATTCGATCGCGTTTACATGCCAGTGTTTAACACAAAGTCAGAATATCGTGCTTCCGAACCAATAGATTGGTAGAGTGTAATGACAGATTTTCTAAAAATTGATTGTGTATGTTAAAATAATTAATGAATAGATTTTTTTGTTTCACTCTTTAACTTGATATAGACTTGCTGACTTGCTAACTTGCTAATCTGTCACAGTGACGGAGAGAGAGATGGAGAAGCGCAGAAGACTATGTCTCAGTTAATTTTCAATGTTTGAACAACTACCAAAAGACAACTTATATATATATATATATATATATATATATATATATATATATATATATATATATATATATATATATATATATATATATATATATATGTATATATATATATATATATATATATATATATATATATATATATATATATATATATATATATATATATATATATATAAATATATAATATATATATATATATATTTATATATATATATATATATATATATATATATATATATATATATATATATATATATAATGTATATATAGTTCTATAAATGTCGGCTTTTAGAGAACGGAATGTAAAAAAAGATTCTTTTGACAACAAATACGTCACTTTTAATTAATTTTGATTTTTATACAACATACATTTAAAACCATTAATTTGATTGCGGATGAATTATTTTTTTTTAAACCACAAAAATGCAAATTTAGTTGACCAGAATGTTTTTATAAAAATTTTAAATGTTTTTTAAAAACATTTTGAAAATAAATGAGCTTCTGAAGTCAAATAATGACATAGAGACGTAAAATTTATATTTTAATAGTAAAATTGTAGTGTTTTGTTAATTTTGTTGCCATTACAAGGTTCCATCAAAAAGTAAAAATCAATTTTTTACATACTGTTAACCCCATGCACGAAAGATATATTTTTTTATTACTACAGATAAACTTTATCATAAAGAAAAATCTAACCAAAATATTAAAGTATTAAACCAAAAACATTCACTATTAAAATTATACCATAAATGCTAGAATTATTTAGCAGACTTAAGATATCAATTGAATAACAGAAAAGTCAATTTAATTAAGAGTTAAAACTCAATTGATATTTTAAGTCTGTTTAAGTATCAAAATATATTTATATATTTTATATATAAATATATTTATATAATTATAATATAAATAATATATTATAATAAAAAGTAATAATTATAATAAAAAGTAGGTATAATTTTAATTGCAATATAAGCCATTTATTTTTTTCACTGTTTTTTAACTACTCTTGATACATGTTAAAGTTAAAAAACAAAGAAAAAAATATATTTATTAGGTCTTTCTATATTATAATAAAGATACATAGCGTATAAACAAGTAATATTCTACAAAATAAAGTGTTACAATGTATAATTAACATATTTGGTCTACAAAGTACACTTAACATTATAGAATCCTGTTTTTAAAAAACAGAAATAAAAATTAACGCAAAATAAACATAGTATACTAATATTGGGCCCAAATCAAACTTATTTTATACTATAGAGATAAAAAACTATGCCTTAATAAATCAAATATCAAGAATTTTCAAATGATTGAAGCTTGTAAAACAGTAATTGCCTAGCAGCATATAACATTAAACCAGCTAATATTACCATAAAACTTTTTTTGCGGCTACTAAAAAGTTTTGACTAAAAAGTTTATTAAAAAAATAATAATAATAAAATCATAGAGTAATAAATCATATAATATAATAGTAAATTATTCAAGTACTATCTAATAAAAACTGAATTTAACTGGATTGACAGGAGAGAGAGTAATTAAAGATTTGGTCTCTGTAATTAAATAGAGAATAAAATCATTTATAGATGAAAAGTAAATAATAGTAGGAATAGTTGACTCTATAAAGACTTGTTTGATTAATAGAATGTCTGAGAATGATACAAATTTAAAACCCCTTGTTTTCAAGTTTCAAGGATATACAGAGTCAGATGGATTTAGTTGTCGTATAGATTCTGTAAGCATTCCATTCTGTTTGGAGTTTTTTTAATATAGTATCACAACTTTAATATTTTATTTTTGTTAAAATATAACCTATATGGTTTTCATTGAATATAGTAAAAAATAATAATAAATCGTGTTAACATTTTTTTTTTGGTTATAAACTTTGGGATAGTGTTACTTTTATGTTTTTAAAATACTGTATGTACTAAAGTACTATTCTGGACAATTCAAACATTTAATTGATGGCTTATTTGCCATGCATGACTACATGTTATAAAGAGCTGTTTGTGCTGTTCTTAACTGTTCTTTAATTTTTGTTATAAATGTTTTTTCTTTATTCTATGGATTTATGTGATCTGAAATAAATTAATAATAATAATAACTATATATATATATATATATATATATATATATATATATATATATATATATATATATATATATATATATATATATATATATATATACATATATATGTATATATATATATATATATATATATATATATATATATACATATATATGTATATATATATATATATATATATATATATATATATATATATATATATATATATATATATATATATATATATATATATATATACATATATATGTATATATATATAAAAAGTCAAAATTTTTTAGAGAGTTAAAAAAAAAGAATTTGATAGCTTAGCAAAGTTTCATTACGAGATAGAATGGTTGTTTCATAATGCTGTCATTTTCTATGGAGGTAAAGAAAAAAAGGACTTTTGACTTTGTTTTTCAGTTCTTGTTTAGTAGGGTGACAATTAAAAAAAGAAAAAAAAAACACTGCATGTAATTCTTTTTGCCACCCCTTGGTTATACTCAAACTATTTTTTTGCACTAGTATCAGTGCTAGATGTAGCACTAATGCTAGTCACAAAATCTAATTTTTTTAAAATTAACCATTATTTAAAATATTTATTTGTTTATTGTCAATATTTTTATTAACTTCATCAAAATTTATCATTTTGAAAAGTATTGTGTTAATTTGTTTGGTTTAAAATTTTTATTTAATTAACAGAATAACACTGCATTGCAAAAGGTTTCACAGTAGTTTGAACAAGTTTACATAAATGACTAATACATGTATATATATATTTACATCCATATATTAGTAATATATATATATATATATATATATATATATATATATATATATATATATATATATATATATATATATATATATATATATATATATATATATATATATCAGGATTTCTCAGGAAACGTGTGCAGTACCACGCCTTGAATGACCACACAAATACTTTTTTTGTTGTTGATAACTTGGCCATGTTTTTTTTTTTTTTTTTTGCATAGATTAAAAATAATGCATTTTAAAAAATGTGTTGAAAAACAAAACTAGTTTGTTATATTATTTTATTTTTCTTATTAATACTTTATTATTATAGTTCTTAATGAGAAAATAAAAACATAAAAATAATATATATATATATATATATATATATATATATATATATATATATATATATATATGGGCTATACCATTTTTAACATACATTACACGCGTAACAACTTTATCAAATATTTGCTATTTTGTATGAAAGCTGTTAGACTAATGAATAAAATAAGCTAAAATGAGTCTGGCTAAAAGAGGGCAACCTTATTGTTAAAAATGTCACTTACACTAACATTACACGGAAAATAAGCTAAAAAAAACTCACATATCGCGTATTAAAAAGTAAATAAAAAATTCTTTTGTTTTAAAAGTACTTTCGAACAAAAAAGTTTACATAAATTAAGAAATCAATAAAGCGTTGTACAACGTTACAATGAAACATAAAATTTAAAAATAAAAAAATAATATTATTTATACTTTTACACTTAATTTTTATCGCGCTTTTTTAATTAAAAAATGTCATTACCACGATCATTTTGTTCAATTGAGACAAGAATTACAATAAAAGAAAACAAATTGCTAAAAGGCTATATTATATAAGTTTGTTGTGAAATTCAGTCAAAAAATATAATTTTTACTTATTAGGTTTGAATATATTAAAAAGAAAAGATAAAAGTTTTTAATATTCTTTAAAAACGGATTTTTGTTATTAGACATAAAAAAACATTTTTTTTTTTGCTTATCATGATGTTGCATAATTATGCTTATAATAATGTTGCGACTGCACGCGTCTCCTGAGAAAGCCTGATATATATATTAACCCTCGGAATTAGGAAAAATAAGGTCAGCAATAATTTGCCGACCTCAATCTTTTTAAGCTCGGCAAAAACTATTTGATTCAAAGGTCTAACCATAAAACATAGAAATGAGGTGTGCAAATTTTTGCCAACCTCAAACACTTTCAGATCGGCAGTTTTTTCGGCATTGCCATTTGCGGACCGTAATTCCGAGGGTTGTATATATATATATATATATATATATATATATATATATATATATATATATATATATATATATATATATATATATATATATATATATATATATATATATATATATATATATATATACATATATATATTTATATATATATATATATATATATATATATATATATATATATATATATATATATATATATATATATATATATACACATATACATTATGGTGTCCCTTATTTTTCAAAGTTTTTATTTTCTAAGGCATAGATCTTATTTTCGTTCATTTGCTTCTAAAACACTCAAAAATAAATTTTTACTTTAATTGGAGTACAATAACTCGACATGCATCGAATTATGTTCATACAAGTTGCACAATAGTTGCGCTTACTCGCATTATTGTTAAAATGCTCAAAGTGGTTTTTACAATGACAAAAAATTAATAAATAAAAATAGACTACTTTCTTAATAATTCGATACCAATTGATAATAGTAAATATATAATAATTATCACTTACAATAATTGTTAATAGATAGTTATAGTTTTTACAATTTTGCGACATTGTAAAAACTGCTTTAAGCAAATCTGCAATTTTAGAAAAATTCAATTATTCTCATGACAAATACATATTGTTTTATTTTTAAGAAATGGCCGTAAAATTGGAAAACAATAAAAAAAAAATTTATCTTTGTTGGTGACGTGAATTTTCAAATAACAGCCGCAAAGTTACCATCAACTGTCAAGTTCTTGCAGTACTTTTTTTTAACATTTGCGAGTGTTAAAAAAAAAGTTAAAATCGAGTGAATGGAAAATTAAAATTAAAAAAAAAATTTGGGAATAAACTAGAATCCCTTCCAGAGCTATACTGTTAAAAACTGTGTAAAAAAACTTGTAGATTTTCACCACACACATGCCTCCAACTAATTTTTTAGAAAACTGATAACAGCTTTTTTTAAATGTTCAGAAAAGGAGCTGTTAATTTTGGAAACTTTGAATCTATTCCAAGATTCAATAACAAAGCTGTAATGAATGACTTCAACAGCTTATTCAGAGTAGTAGCCTAATCCACATCCTCTTACTGCACAAAAAGCACCTATATGTTTTAAAATAAAATGAATTTTCAATGAAACAGTTATTCCATAATCTTCAACCAGTGTTTTTCATAGTTTTAAATGTGCTTGAAAATCATGATGATTGTTTTTGTCCAAATCTAGACTCAACCAAATTGTTTAAAATTCTAAGCCCTTTTGCGAATGGCTTCAAGTTAATTGGCATTGCAGGCATGTACTTATCATAAGTTTTAAGGATTTTATGGGAGGTTTTACTATTATGGCATTATTCTGGACCTCTTTCGAAATGTTTAAAGTTATTGACACTTTAGCAACTTCATTTTCATCACCACATTTCTCTATATGATTATAAATATGATTAACAGCGGTGGGAAAAGATAATCTGCCGCAAAGTGGTTCCTGCCGCTAAGTGGTATATCAATGGAAGATTAATAACATTGCAAAATTCTTAAGCATTACGTTTTAATGCACCTGAATTAGAAAATTTTGTATATTGTTTCTCTAAAGAACCAAAAGTTCTAAGCTTTTCTTCTTTAAATTATTGCATTCGTTTCCATTTGCATATATGGCAAAGTTGTGTAGCCATAGTACTTGGAGATAATCCGCACATTATTTGATAATGCTTAAGATCAGCTACAAATGAGAGTTTTATTTTATCTAAATTGAGACAGTTCATTAATATAAAAACATTCTAGTGACTTTCAGGAACATTTAGAACTAAAGCTAATAAAAAAGAAGCTTTTACAGAACCTTCTTTATATTTTGAATTCTGAAGTTCTTCATAGAGTTTTGTCTTTCTGACTGTTTTTCTAAAGTTCTAAACCTTAGCTCTCACAATCTGACAGTAGGTTTAAACAGATCTAAAATGAGAAATTTTTTATTTTTACAAAATGTTGTATTATTTTTTTTTTTGACTTAATCATAATTCTGAAAAACATATTTAGAATGAAATTATTTACCTTCCTCCATCAATACCAAGTTTGACTCTTTAATTGCTTAATTTCTCTTCTTTAATCACAATAAGCAACTTTACAAACTCCTCAATATTGGCGCACTTAATAATAGGGACATTTTCCTTTACTTTTAAATTTCCTTTTTTAGCATCAAATTCTTGATAGTCAATTATAAATAAATCTTCAAGTGCACCATCAATTACCCCAAGTGATTTTTGTAGGTTTGCTTGTATGCAAGTTTTCCCGTTAATTGATATTTTATTTAAAATAATTGCAATCTAACCAAAAGAGGGCACTTTCTCTTCTATCGCTTGCATATTTAACAGTCTTGATGTTTTGTGGGCACAAAAGTCATAAATCTTTTTTCGGTTAATGTCACAATCACACTTTTTTCTTGGATGCAACATAATAAGTATTTTTATTGTATATATGTATGTATGTATATATGTATATATATATGTGTATATGTATATATATATATATATATATATATATATATATATATATATATATATATATATATCAAGTTTTCATGTTAAATTTTTTTTTAACATATGTACTTTATTTAGGGATAAATTGGGCCCTTTTGGCCCCTAAAACGTAAATATTTTGCTAAAAGAAGTTTTATAATTTTGGTGACATATCAAACCTAAATCTACTCATTGTAACGAATCTAACGATGTATAACAATGGCTGGGGTCAAACCGCAAAACTAAAAAGTGGTTTGAGGCATGTGTGACCATGTTTAGAGAGAGAGTTGCAAAAAAAAATCCAATAAAAAACAAGATATTTACAAGTACCATGAGGAGAACTTTCGAAACAATTTAGATTTATTTGATACATACATACATACATACATGCTCATGCCTTGAAAACTATTAATCTGGGTGATATTGAAACATACACCGATGTCGTCAAACCACATTTTAGTCATACAACATTTGAAGAATTGTTGACATTTTATAATCAAGAACTACAAAAAATTATTTTACGTGATGGTTATTAGTAACTAATTGTTAATTTCTTAGAAATTGATAGTTAAAAAGAAAAAAAATTTAAATCAGACTTCTTGGAGCAATGCAGTGAGTTGGATGGCTATTTACTCTTTAAGGATATCTTGCGATCCCACATCAAAATTAGTGCCAAGGATAAACAAGCACTTTGAATTTGTGTCTCTTTCAAAAGCATAATTTGTTTTCTCAATTAAAAATTAATGAGAACTTCCTCCAGAGACCTGTTTCAACATGGGATGAAGATGTTGTCTATATAGAGGCAAAAAAAAGTTAAAGCTAAAAGAGCAGTAAAAGTTATTAAAGATTTTTATGGTTTGATCACTGCAAAGAAAGAACAAAAGCAACTATTGCTATGTTGTTTGCAAGATACTAGAAATCTGTATCTAGACTGTAAAAAAGAGACCTTTAAAGAAAAATATCCTTCTTGATCTGTAATTTTATATTCTTTCAATAAATGTTTAATAAGATATAATTGTTTCAATTGGTTTAGCTGCGTAACGAGAAGGTTTAAAAACAGTAATTTTCAAAATCTTCAGAGTTTTGTCGGCATGCGTTAGTTTTGTTGCAGGAAGATAAAACTTTGTTTTTAAGTAAATCTATTATATTGGTTACTTCAAATTTATTTTTTGTTAGAAATTTGTCATGAAAAAAAAAATTATCAAAGTTACATCTCAATTGGGTATTTTTTTAACTTATAAAAGTGCAACTTCTAAAAAGTGTCAACTGACAGGTAGCGTCACGTTTTTTATCTATTTATCTATTTATTTGAGATATATTTTAATTGTGTCTCATCTAGATTTTGTTATGTTATTTGGTTAGTAAAAGAAAAAATCTTGCTGCAATTTTATATTCTTTTAATAAATATCTTATAAAATATAAATGTTTCAATTGATTTAGCTACATAACAGGAAGGGTTAAAAACAGCAATATTCAAAATCTTCAGAGATCTGTCGGCATGCATGTAAATATGTATATAAGGTTTATTAAAGGTAAATATTATGAAGTAAATTTAATGATTTATTTTCAAATTAAATATACCTATAAGTTAAAAATCAAAAATGTAAATGTTGACATGATAAAAAACAAAGGTGCATTCAAGTATTAAAAAAAAGAAAGAAACATTTTTGGTATTTAAATGTCAGTTGTGGATTTATTCTCTTAAATTTCCTGTTTCTGTCTTACCAACTTCTGTTGGTAAGACAAAAACAGTAGATACTAATTGTCGTATCAACTTCTAACTCAAGAATTCCTTCTAAAGCTTTATCAATATACAGTTAGCAGTAAATCAAAACAATTCAAAAGTATTTTTGAATATTTTTCCTGTCCTATGGTATCAAATTTCAAAGTTGTTAGTTTGGAAAAATATAAAATAAAAGTTAGTTGAAAAGTTATAATCAATCATGATGACTCTTTTGACATAGTAAAACACAATATTAAAGAGCTTATACAACTTAGTCATGGTCAACTCAATCATGAGGCAAAGATAAAGTATAAATAAAAAAGAGGATTTAGCATTTTTAGAAAATCAGAAAAATACTAGAAAGTAGTTTATAAGAGGGCAAATAGACCAGGAACTGGAAGCAAAGTTTAGGCGTAGACAAAAGAGATACTTAAGAGGTACGTATTATAAGCAAAAAGTATCAACGGATGTCAATAAAGGTTAATGAGCTCATTAAAAATGCTGTGGAAATGATTCAAATAAAATAAAATTGATCTATGCATAAGGTCATTTTTATCTTAAAAAATAAAAACTAAAATGTATACTGTTACTTTCCATTTGGTAGATGAAAATACTAAGCTTTGTGAACTTATTACCATAGAAAGCTGGTTACCTTTTGTTGTGTTGGGTTTTTTAAATGAAATATAGACTTTGTTGAAATAAAAGATTTAGACTCTGGCAAGAAATTAGTAATTTTTATTAAAAATATCATTGTCACAAACAATTTCACTAAATGGAAAATTGGAATTATACAAAATTTTTTTAACCCTTCACACTCTAAGGATCAGAAAAAAAAGCTAGTTGTTTGAAAAAATGGAAAACAGATCTCATAGAATATTTATCAGAAAGATCTTAAGTTTAAAATATAATATAAGTTTAAAATATAAGTTTAAAATATAATATAAGTTTAAAATATAAAAATAAATATTTTTATTTTAAATACAAATATACATCATTAAATTGTTTTAAATATTTAGTTATCTCAGAAAAAAATCAGTACTATATTAATATAAAATAATAGTTAATCAAGTTAATATATGCTTTATTATTTATTTTTTTTAATACATTTGTTAGTATATATTGGCAAAAAACTGTAAATATTCAAAATATTTAAAAACAACATTTATCTGTTCTTACGATCATAGTAAGCTAAAACTTTCAATATAAGCTAGTATATAGATGTAGAGCAGGATAAACACAGTGTATTTTCATTTTTTGATTAGAGTTTAAAGAAAGTTCAAAAAGTTGTCACCCTATTGTTTAACAAGAAATATTGTTTTATATCATTATTTTGTTTGATATATTTTGTTATATCATTTCCAACTTCTAATATTATAGGTGACCACAAGCTTGCTACACTAGCACGGGTTGTTGTCCTTGATGGTCAAAATGAGGTTTATTTTATTTTATATTTCTCACTTTTAATTTTGGAACAATTTCTTGATTAGAAAACCTTTTCATGTGCTGTGATTTTTGATTATTTTTAATTTTGATAATTTTCAGGCAGAAAGATCATAGGTCATTCTGATTTTTTTCTATCGGTATTTATTTTTATAGTTATTGCTAAAAGTTTTTTTTTGTTTATTTCTGTGAATGAATTTAGCTGAGTCAAATAGACATCTGTTCTGATTGCTATATAATGTCAAACGAGCGTCCACTACACTGGTATTCACACCCATGTGTAAGTTTGAGTTTAATTGAAAGTATAATTTATCTGATTACTTTTGTATTTATTTTTTAAATGTTTTTAAATCAAATAATTTTTTTTATTATTTATTTAATATTTTTTCTTGTGAACATGGAGAGTAACACATTGATAGACGTAGATAGAAAAAAAAAAAAAACAGTAACACTTATTTAGGTAATATTTAAGACAAAAAAAACCCAGGTGTGCTTGTAAAGGGAAATTTAAAAATGAAAAAGTGGTGTGAAACTAATACAAAGAAAGCAAAGTGGACTTATACTAAAACAGCAAAGTGGATTACAACTGAATTAAAAAAAGGCTTAAGACTTAGTAGACTACAAACTTTTATGTTTTTTTTTTCATTTCAAAAAACTTTTTTTAATAATATTTTATTTTACATTGTTATTATTTATTTTTGTATTGTTATTGTTCATGACAATAAAAATTAATATTAATTAAAAATTATTTAGAAAACACCTCACAAAATAGTTTATGCAAAACTGGGTAGCGATCCACACTGGCCAGCCAAAGTGAGCTCTTTTCTTTGAACATTTTATTTAAAACATTTGATCAAAATTTATATATACTTATCCTTTGTGTTTAATTTCATTATTTAGTTTTTATTCATTTGCAAACTAATGCAGGTTGTTTAATTGCAAATAAATGTTTTTTTTTTTGTTTTTGAAAAAAAGATTTTTTAGCAAAAAAAAATAATAAAGTTTCAAAGCATTTCAGTGCAGGGAAGAAAACAAGAAAAGTAAAAGTTTTTAGAGCATGAAGAAACAGGTAAAGAAAAAAATGAGAGTCAATCTTTGCAAATAGACCCAACAAGGTTTACAATGCAATTTTAAACCTTGTTTGAAATAGAAATACCATCATTAGAAGAACTAAATATGAAAACAGTATTCTATACAGGGAAGAATTAAAGATTTGTAGAGGTAGAAAATTAAATTGTGAAAAATAAAGAGAAGCATACTTAACAGATGCTAACTTTGCTATGGATTTTATATAAGATTTCCACAAGAGGCTGTAGTGAACAATATTCTAAGGAGTTTTAAAGAAAAGGACTCAGTGAAAGAGTTGCATTAATATAGAGATGTTAACAATATTGCTGTTGTTTGCAGTAATTAATTAAGTTCTGTTGGAATTAAAATTCACAAGCCACTGCAAGCCTCATGCTGTTACAGAAGTGAGTTCAGATTCAAAATTGTCTGCATTTTTTAAGCAATTGTAAAGAGAAGAAAATAGAGAATAAGAAACAATACAGGACCAAGGATAGAATCTTGAGTTCTCAGAAGTTACTATAAATGAAAAAGACTTTCAGTATGATTCTAATACTGCAGTTAGAAAGAAATGATTTAATAATTTCAAAAAAAAAATTTCCCAGATACACCATATGAAGCAAGCTTATGGAGAAGACCAGCATGTTAAACTTTATCTTTTGATATGTCAAGTTCATCCAATGCACGGTAGAATCTTCCAGTTAAAGCAGTTGGCAAGTCAGCATATTAAATAGTTTAGGGAGAATTAAAGAGAGTTCGGCTTGTGGATAGACGAAAAGCTTGTGGTCCAAAATGTTGTCTGAAATAGCAGGAAGAGTATGGCCATTAGAATTAAGAGTCGAATTAGAGGAAAGATTCTTTGCAAAGTTGTTTGTTATTCTTGGGAGAAATAAGATCAGACCATGAATTAGAGATGGAATGTTTGACCTTTGTTATTGACACTGTTGAAATTTTTTCATAAGTCTCTAGAGCCTGACTTTAAAGATTTGATACAAGATTTAGTAAACTGAGAATAATGGAAGTATAGCATCAGAGAGCACCTTTTTACATTGGTTTCTTGCAATAACAAGAAGTCTTTTGTTTTCAAGAGAGTTGTTCTTGTGAGAAAGATGAATAAAATGATTACTACTAGATAAAGCAGTTGCACAAGAAGGTGAAAACCACAAAGTAGAATGAGACTTGACTTGGAACTGACAAGAAAGAATGAAAGCTTCCATACCCTTCTGGATCGAAAAATATACGTAGGAGGCACATTTATCAGCAAAGATAGAAAAGATATCAATCCAAAGACCTTCACGAATAAAATCATGAAAAAAATACCAGTCAGCTTTAGGTAAGATTTATAGAAATCATTGCATGGTCGGAACCACCTAAAGGAGAACAAGAAGAAACTGAACACAAGGTGTGGTCAGAGGAAAGACACAAATCAAGGAGTGAAAGTAAGTGATTAAAGTTGTCAGGAAAATGAGTCACAAAGTTAACTATATAACTAAATTGACTTTTTGAGTAAGAGATTGAGAAATGCAGAAGTTATGGGCTTTTTACTTTAGTTTTTACTAAATCAGAAAAAAATCTTGGCATATTAATTTTAATTTGAGATAGGAACCACAAATTATAATTGTATTTTCTACTGCAAACTACAAATTTGGTATAATATGCAAATCATTTGATTATAAAGATAGTGAACTAATAAAGTTGCTGTATTGTTGTTATTTACATCTCCATTTATAATTTGAAATACAGGTATGGTATCCTTATCTTGAAAAAGATATAAATAAATCATTAAATGTTCAAAAACAAGTAACAAAATCTCTACATGAGTCATGTCATTTATAATATGATGAAAAGGTAATAAAATGTTACATCTTTAAAACAAGAAAGAATGCAAGTAGATCTCATACAAATGCATAAAGTGTATTTTCCAAAGTATCTCTTATCTCATACAAATGCATAAAGTGACTTTTCCAAAATTTGAAAAATACCTCCTCAGCATTTATGCTCTCTAAATTTTTCAGATCTTTTCTTAAATAGTTGAGATAAAAAACATCATTTATACACTGATAAGAAATATTTAAACTAAAATTGTAAGGCTTTTTTGACAAATAGTAATGTTCTGAAACTTAATCTTCATCTATCTTTGGCAGAACAAGATTAACAGCCTACTGTCGATGATTCAACAGTTTCTCTAAGTTAAAGATTCACTCAGAAAAGTATTGAAAGACGTTTCTCTACATTTGATTTGCAGTGATGATGAAGTAAACACTTTATACAACATTTTTGCTGCTCTTGAACCAGTCAAATTAGCTGCAGAAACTCTTTGTCAACAGGATACAACTCTTGTTACTGTTGAGGGAATTTTCAAGTCTCTTGTGAACAGACTGAAAAAACAAGATTCAACTCTTTGCATTGCAATGAAGAGTGCAATTTTGAGACACTTTAAAGAGAGAGGGCAGAGCTTGTAAACTTGTAAACTTATACAGATACCTTTCCAATTCAGACAATTCAGTTTATTCAACATTGAAAAACATGGAGTTTTCAAAATGCCTTCGAAGTCTGTACTATAAAAGACATCTAATTGAATTAATTGAAAAATTAGTAGTTAAGGATAGTTTTAATTCAGTATATTTAACCTTTTTTGTTTGTTTGGTTTTCTTTTGTGTTTTTTTTGTGTTTTATTTTGTAACTTTAATCAGTGTAAATTTTTTTTAAACAATATTGCAATAACAATATAATAATAGAATCCAGGTCTCTGGATTTTTTTAAACATTGTGAACATGGTGATAGTGAAGAAGACTATGCTCCAGTATACCTATATACTTTTTGAATTGCATAGATATTTTTATATTTTTTGATGTAGATATTTTATATAGTTAAGTAAAGGGTTTTATTTTGTTACTCTGCTTTCTCTATAACTTTGATAGTTCTTGTATGACCTTATTGTCATTTAGAATCTTATTTAAATCATTTAGAAAAATTGCTACAACTTTTTTATTTAATTTCTTGCATTTTTCTGTTTCTATTTCATAATTCTTGCTTCACATTTCATCATTAAAAAAATCATTAAAGTTTTTTTTTGTGCATCTTCAGAATATTTTTACAACATCTTCAGATTATTTTGTTTTCATTAACTAAAAGTATATCAAATCACAATATATTTTTTTAAGTTAAGTTTTAAACAGGCTATGCATATTTTATTTAGATTTCAGAACATTTACTTTTTAGCTTGAAACAAGATTGTCTTTAAATTTTTGTTTTTAGTTCTTATCTGTTAAATTGGATTTACAAAATTCTTTATAAAAATGTCTAAGAAATAATTTAAATGTATTTGTGAGGATGTCATATTTTAACTTTGATTTATCAACACTGTCAATTTAATTTATTATTAAAAAAAAATCTGCAGAAAAGTGTGACCATGTGATATTTAACATCATTAATCCACTGTACTGTCATCCTTTGAAATTTATACATTAACATGTGAACATTGTCAGAGTTAATGAGTTAATGCATTTTTTTTTTTGGGCAAATACTATACAAGCAGTTAAACTGAATAAATTTGGCATCATTTGTATCATACTATATGCTTTTGACATTATACTATAAGCAATGACTAGTGCATATAGATTGATTGACAGTTTAGAGTATAAGCAAATAGTGTTTTGTTTAAAAAAAAAATGCACTCTTCTTCTTTTCTATCTTTTTTGAATTAATTTGTTTGCAATGAAAAGTTTGCTTGAATTATTAGTGTTGTGCCAACATTGTTGCACTGTAGTTGATTTTTCTATATGCTTTATTTACATTGATTAATTAAATTAATTTATATGTAATATTAATTTACCTATATTCTTTTATGTAGCAAATTTTTCTTTGCTCCAAGTGAACTTATACAATATATATATATATATATATATATATATATATATATATATATATATATATATATATATATATATATATATATATATATATATATATATATATATATATATTATACCTAAAAATATACTTTGATTTAATAAAAATATTTTCTATTTATAGGTTTTGCGAGAAAATGAAGATGGTAGTAGTATTGATGTTCGTTTTTTTGGACCACCTTATCAAAGGTTGTTTTCATAAGTTTTGATTAAAGTTTTAAAATTACCATCTATTTTTAATAAAAAGAGATTTAAAAAAATGCTGCTAATATATTACTATGTTATTTTAAATTGTTTTGATTTATGTAAATATAATTTATGGTTATAGAATTTGACAGCTTGCTCTGTTTTATTTAACTTTTATTTATTTTTATTTTGACTTGGGAAATGTTTGCAAAGCTTTAAAGTATATATTTTTTTGAACTATAAGGGCATGGATTCCTTTGCGCAATGTTCTTGAATTAAAAGACAAGCCTGTGAATAAAAAACGATCAAAGTCTTTGATGGAAGCAGAGAAGGAGCTTAAAATTTATTTGAAGATTTTAAAAAAGTATCAAAATGACAAAGTAAATTTTTTATAAAACTTTTTTATTTGCTTTACTAAAAGTTAGGATATATATATATATATATATATATATATATATATATATATATATATATATATATATATATATATATATATATACTAGGTTGGTTGAAAAGTTCGCGGAGCGGCACCTATGTTGCAGTAGTAGAAACAAATTTATAACTGTATTAAACGTATTCATTCTTCGTATGAACGCATAAAAAATTTCAAGTCGATATGTCATTTCAGTCTTTGTTTACAAGCTATTGAAATTAGACGTGTCATAGTATTTTTTAAAATGGAAAATATTGAACATCGTGCTGTAATAAAATTCTTTGTGAAAAAAGGTTTAAAGCCCATGGAAATTCATAATGAAATGGTAAATGTGTTGGGTGATGATGCTCCTTCAAAAACAACAGTATGCAAATGGGCTGCGGAGTTTCAACGTGGGCGTTCAAGCCTTGAAGATGACCCTCGCTCTGGACGTCCAAAAAGTGCTACTACTGAAGAAACGATTAATGCTGTGCATGACATGGTTATGGATGATAGACGATTGACCAAACGTGAAATTGCTGAGGCTGTGGGCATCTCAGATGAACGGGTATTACACATCTTGCACGATGAATTACGTCTGAGAAAGCTGTTGGCAAGATGGGTGCCGCATTCGCTAACTCTGGATCAGAAACGCACTCGAGTAAAACTTTCTCAAGAACATTTGGCCCGTTTTCAAAAGAATAAAACAGATTTTGTGCGTCAATTCGTAACCATGGATGAGACTTGGGTTTACCACTATGATCCGAAGCTGCGACAACAAACTGCAGAGTGGACAGAACCTGGTTGTTCAGCTCCAAAGCAAGTGAAGGCGTCAAAATCGTCAAAGAAGGTTATGGCATCAGTTTTTTGGGATGCGAAAGGAATTTTATTAATAGATTACCTTCAAACCGGTAAAACGATAACAGGTGAATATTATAAAAATCTTTTGGACCAGTTGGATAAAAAAATTCGTGAGAAAAGACCTGGTTTGCTGCATAAAAAAATCATTTATCACCAGGACAACGCACCTGCTCATATCAGCGATGTTGCAAAGGCGAAATTGGTCGAATTAAAGTACGAACGCTTGGAACATCCACCCTATTCACCAGATCTGGCTCCGTCCGACTTCCACCTCTTTCCACATCTCAAAAAATTTCTACGTGGAAAGCGTTTCTCATCACATGAAGAAGTCATTGCAGCCGTAAATGGGTATTTTGAAGGCCTTCCGGAATCGCACTTCAGAGATGGGATACATGAATTGGAGAATCGTTGGAAAAAGTGTATTGCTCTTAAGGGAGAATATACTGAAGAATAAAGTCATTTTTTGAATCATAAAATTGTTTTTTCATTTCCGCTCCGCGAACTTTTCAACCAACCTAGTATATATATATATATATTGGGTTGGCTAAATATTAATTAGCGTATATGTATGTGTGTGTTAATATTATAATATAAAATTCTTTAGAAATTCCATCATAAAAGTATTTCAGATGAATCGGACTCTGTTGAGGAAGAAATTTCAGACAATAAAGAGATACTTGATCAATGTTTAAAAAAAAGAAAATCTTTACATGAAAATGAGAATCTTGATCAATGTTTAAAAAAAAAAAAATCTTCAGATGAAAACAAGAACCAATGTTTAAAAAAACGAAAATCATCACTATGTTCTACCAACAAAGAAGATGACGAACAATTTCCAAAAACAAAAAAAAAAAAGTCCATAAAAAGTAATTTCTTCAGTAAAGATGAAACTAAAAAAAACCTGATGTGTTCTTCTATGAAACCATTATGTACTTCTGTAAAAGAAAAATCATATGATGCAGAAAACAGTGACATTTGTAATGAAATCCTTAATGATCAATTTGCCCAGCAAATTAAAATGACTGATGATTACAAAATGATAACAAAATTACAAGAACAAATTAACAAATATGAGAGCACAGTAAGTCAGCTCAGATTTGATTATGAAACAGCACAGACAAACTTAGAATCTGTAAGACTGGATTTAGCAATTGAAAAACAAAAAACTGTAAAGTTTCAAGAAGAACTTGAAAAAGGTTGGAAATATATTGTTTTTAGAAGCATTTTATTGTCCTATAATTAATAATCATTTTAATGATCATAGGAATGTAATTATAAAAGGTTTTTAAAAATTTTAACTTTAGGGTGAGGCTTTCTTTGTTTTACTTTTTTAAATTTTAACTTTATTGTTCAAAAAAAGCATAGGGTTTCTCAAATATAGAAAAATTGGTTATGGTTAAAAATCAAAACATAGTTGTACAACTATGTTTTGATTTAAGTTTTTGTTTACTCAAAACATTTTGTTTTTATCTAAACCATAATACAATATAGTATGGTAAAAAAATGAAAACATATAAGATATATTTTAAACCATAAGGGTCTTACAAAAGTAATATTAAAAAAAATACTGTATTCTTGTTTTACCAAGTACAAGAGTCTAACAACAGCAGATGTTAGACTAACAGCAGTTTTTCATTAAATTTTTTTTTTTTAAATTGACTACTGAACTTGCATTTACAATATTTTGATCAGGTATATTCCAAGCTTCAACAATACCCTTTTTGAAGAAATTATGCCTAGAAAATGGGTTTCTTGCAAAATTTATTTTTAATTTCTTACCATGCCCTCCTGTTATTATTTTTCAGGTTCTTTATGTTATTTTTATTTGATCTATACTGTTTTGTGATCTAAAAATTTGAAATCTTACCTCGTAATTTTCTATTAACTAATTTTGGAAGTTTTATCTTTTTGTTTTAATTTATTTCTGCTATCACTTTTGTGCAATCTGTTTATAATTTTGCTTTGTTATTTAAACTCTATATTAAATCATTACCTTTTTCTTTAAGATCAGTTAACATGCCTAATGTTTCTAGAAGATTTTGTTACTCAAATTTTTTTATTATGAAGTTGTGTTAGTCTTCAGTCATTAAATTACTGCCAACAAGATGCATTATAATTATGGTTTCCATTAGTTGCAAACTATTGAAGTTAGCAAAATTGGTCTGTAATTGTTTGCCTTTAAAGGATCTCCTTTTTTGAATACTTTAGTTAATAATAATATTTATTTACAGCCAAAATTATAGTAGTGCTTTTGATTTGAGTGAGCCATTAAAAATAATGCACAATGCTGTAGTTTTCAGCATAGTTATTAAGAACAATTGAGTTTTTTAATTCCTGGAGATTTATTTACATTAAGGTTAGCTAATTGTTTGATGAATCTATTTCATTGAATAATGCATTTGACAAACTATTTGTTACACGTTCACATAATGGAATATCCTTAAGATATTCTTGTGTAAATTCAGAACAGAAAAGTCTATTTAAATGGCTCACTGTTGCATTTACTCATTAGATAACTTGTTATTATCAATAATTTTATGTGGCCTTATGTGGTCTTTTGTTTTACTAATATATATATATATATATATATATATATATATATATATATATATATATATATATATATATATATATATATATATATATATATATATATATATATATAATTTATATTATATATATTAATAATATGTATAATTTAGCTATGTTATACTAATATATATAATTTAGTGACCTGTGGCCTAATGTGGTCTTATGTTGTCTTTTGTTTATTATTGATATAAGTGTAAATTTGTTTTGGGTTTTGTTTTGATTCTACTGCGATTTTCTATTTATATGCTGTTTTGTATTTTTAACAAGATTTTTTATTCTTTTATTTTTTGTTTTGTATTGTTGATTTAGTTTTTTTATATATTTAAAATCAGGTATATCAAAAGTATGGTTTTTATTGATATGTTTTTTATTTTATAACCAAACCAAAGATATAGAACTCATTCTTCAGACCTTGTTTTAAATAAAAAATGCTTAATGTGAATTTGACGCCATAAAATTCACTTTATTTTTTATTTTTTAAAGATATTACTTTTTTTAAACTTCCACGGTATAATAAATTCTCAATCTCAAAATAAGTTCATTTTAAAAAATAACTGTATAAAAAAATAATTAAATTAAATTTCACTTTTTTCTTTAATATTTAACATAAACTAAATTCTTTCTTTTTTCAACATTTGTATAAATCAGAGAAATTTAATTTTTTATTTCTTAAATTTCTTATTTTTTTATTATTATTTCTTAAATTTCTTATTTTTTATTATTATTTCTTAAATTTCATATTTTTTATTATTATTTCTTAAATTTCTTATTTTGTCTTTACAACTAATAGTTAATTTTTGTTTTTTAAAAGTTTATTGAAAAATAATTAAAAAAAAAATAGCTTATTGCAAAAATAAAAATTTTTTAATTACTTTCCCAGCAATTTTTTTGTGAAAGTTAATTTTAGCTTTGCAAGAATTATTTCTTAAAAAGTATTTTTTACTACGCTTTCACTTGCCTTATGAAAAAAACTTTAACATACGTTGAAAAAAAGTTTAACGAACGCCTTTACTAGGAATTTAATTTTTAGTAAAAATAAAATTGAAAAAAGAGTAATAAATAAGCAAATTTTTT